TGCTCAGGATGAATCTTGGCTTAAGGCTATGGAAGATGAACTGCAGATGATTGAAAAAAATGAAACATGGGAATTGGTAAATAGACCAACTGAAAAACCAGTGATTGGAGTTAAGTGGGTGTACAAGACAAAGCTGAATTTGGATGGCTCTGTGCAAAAGAATAAAGCAAGATTAGTGGCTAAGGGGTATGCTCAGAAGCCTGGACTGGATTATAATGAGACTTATGCACCTGTAGCCAGATTGGACACCATTAGAACTCTTGTTGCTCTAGCTGCTCAAAAGGATTGGAAATTGTTCCAGCTTGATGTGAAGTCTGCTTTCCTTAATGGTGTGCTGCAAGAGGAAGTTTATGTCAGTCAGCCTGAAGGTTTTGTAATTAAAGGCAAAGAAGACAAGGTTTATCGTCTGCATAAAGCTCTTTATGGTCTGAAGCAAGCCCCAAGGGCTTGGTATGGAGAGATAGACAGCTACTTCACTCACTGTGGTTTTGTGAAAAGCTTAAGTGAAGCAACTTTGTATACCAAAGTGAGGGGAGATAAGGAGATTCTAATTGTGTCTATCTATGTAGATGACATAGTGTACACAGGGAGCAGTCAAGCATTGTTGGCTGAATTCAAAGAAGACATGATGGCTAAGTATGAGATGACTGATTTGGGTTTACTTCACCATTTCCTCGGCATGGGAGTTGTGCAGACTGTGTCTAGTATATTTCTACATCAAAAGAAATATGCTAGCACCTTGTTGAGCAAGTTTGGTTTGACTGAGTGCAAATCTGTGACAACACCTCTTGTTGCCACTGAGAAACTAGCTAAGGATGATGGGAGTGGAGCTGCAAATGAAGAACAATACAGAAGCATTGTTGGTAGCTTATTGTACTTAACTGCTACAAGACCAGACATTATGTATGCCTCAAGCTTGCTAGCTAGATTCATGCACTGTCCTACAAATAGACACTATGGAACAGCTAAAAGAGTTTTGAGATACATCAAAGGAACTCTGGACTATGGTCTTGAATATGTGAAAGGCAAAAGATCAATTCTAGTTGGTTACTGTGACAGTGATTGGGGAGGATCAGTTGGTGATTGCAAGAGCACATCAGGGTATGCTTTTAGTTTTGGAAGTGGAGTATTTTCTTGGGCCTCAGTAAAACAGAACTGTGTTGCACTGTCTACTGCTGAAGCTGAGTATATCAGTGCAGCTGAGGCTACTACTCAAGCTATTTGGCTCCGTTTTGTGCTAGAAGACTTTGGAGAGCTTCAAACTGAAGCTACTCCATTGCATTGTGATAATATATCAGCAATTGCAATCACTAAAAACCCTGTATTCCACCAGAAGACAAAGCATATTGACAGGAGGTATCACTTCATCAAGGATGCATTGCAAGAAGGAGTAATCAATTTGGAATACTGTCCTACAAACGAACAATTGGCTGACATTTTTACCAAACCTCTGGCCAAAGACAGATTCAATTATCTCAGAGGCGTGCTTGGAGTGAAATCACCTCAAGACTTAAAGGGGAGTGTTGAATTATAAGTGCTTAAGTTGATTTCAGGATTAGGAGTTTTGTTTTCAGCTTAGTTGTATTTCTTTATACTTAGTCCAGGTGTCATAGCTTGATTGGTTAGATAGTGAATGGCTGAGATTGCTTAGATGAATTGCATCCAGCTGGTACTGTGCTAACGACTATATTCTTCTCACACCAAGAGTGTGATATATTGTACTGAACACTGAGTAATGAGAATGTTCTCTCTGCTACACGTATAGCAGAGCAGCCTTGGATTTCATCAGACTCTCTCTCTCTTCTCTCTTATCTCCAAATCATATTCTAAGATCCTAAAACTCTAACATTTTTCTCTCTTCCAACAATCCAGCATGTAATATTTGCAAACCGTAAATTAAGATCATTGATTAGTCAAAATAATGTCCAAATGTGTGATAATGATCCGCTATCGAAACATAACATTTCAGATATCTGAAAATGAGCATTTCTTTTTATATGATCCTTGAAAATTAGCACATTGTCGATTGAGGGTTCTTTCTGAACATGTGTGTACCTCAAACCATGAAAACCATACAAATCCCTTAAAAGAAAAGAACATTCTAAATGTTCACCAAACCATCACAACAAGATGTGGAAATGTTGAATTACCCGAATCACTAAGTACAAATGCACCATGCCGTATACCTCATCATATAATTGGCCCAATCTGAATAGTAAAATAAGAAGTGGATAAATTTCCACTATAGAGCATTCAATCAATTATGCAAACAGAAGGCCCCTGAAATTTACCATAGTGAAAAAGATGAATTATCACAGTTTTGGAAACCCAACACAAGTTACATGATTGATGATGGGGAAGAAAGTTTCAATGCTAATCTCTGTGTCTAATCTTCTGTGTATCTACATATTGACCTAAAATATCATATGACCTGTTTGCTAATCGTTCTGTGTATTTTCATTATCCTATATAAGTACCTACTGGCCAGTTGCTGCTTTTCTGCAATTACCTGACACTAATCTCTTATTCATCTTCAGCTTTCATGTAGCAATCACCGTCGGTTTTGAATAGAATGAATACCGTGACATGTGTGGGTCATTAGAATCAACAAAGCGACAGTTTACGTATTCTGAGATACTAATGATGACAAAGAACTTTGAGAGGGTTCTTGGCAAAGGTGGATTTGGAACGGTTTATCATGGCTACATGGAACATACTCAAGTAGCTATAAAGATGCTTTCAGAATCATCTATTCAAGGGTTCCAACAATTTCGTGCAGAGGCAATGTTTGTCAAATCAAATAAGCTAACACAAAGTATTGAGCTCAATCTTATGTAATGAATTGACATGTGTTTATTTGTGGCCTCTTAAACTGCAGGTTAATCTTCTTATGAGAGTTCATCATAAAAACTTGACAAGCCTTGTCGGATATTGCAATGACGAAACCAATGTAGGGCTTGTCTACGAGTATATGGCCAATGGGAACTTATTGAACCATCTTTCAGGTTTGACTGCAAGTAGTACTTCCAAATATTTGGGAACTCTGTAACTTAATTCTTGCACCACCATATGATTGGAGCTCCTTTGTTCTTCTGTTCTTCTTATGGATGCAGATAGCAGATCAAGTATCTTGACTTGGGAAGATAGACTTCGAATAGCAACAGATGCTGCACAAGGTCTGCAACTAATAAAATGATTTTCATGATCCTTTTTTTAGCAAGAATCTCTTTTATTTGTTTGAAGTTTTGTGTGAGCGATGCAAGAATTTTAAAATGCAGGATTGGAGTATCTGCATTGTGGTTGTAAGCCGCCTATAATGCACAGAGATGTGAAATCAACAAACATCTTGCTGAATGAAAATTTCCAAGCCAAAATATCTGATTTTGGACTGTCTAGAAATTTCCCTACTAATGATGGAACTCATGCATCCAGCCTTCTTGCTGGCACTCCTGGCTACCTTGATCCTGAGTAAGTATTTCACACTTTTAATTTTCCCATTATCATCTTTACTAGTACTTAAATTCACAACA